GGACTTCCGATTCCTGGATGGAGCAAAGAATCATGTGGCGCTGTTGGGGGTCCCTCCTGTCGAGGCAGCCTCAGCTGTAGCTATGGATTGGTGGATGGCAAGGCTGCAGACAGCGAAAGCAAAGGCGGCTTCTTCCAAGCCTGTGGTGACAACGAGGCCGTCTGCTCTGAGGACAAGGCCGAAGGCTTCGGTTGCCACGCCAGCTTTCGACAAGAGCTTGGTCGCGTCAGGGATCGACCCAGACTCTGCGGAGGCGATCTTGGCAGCACTTGGAACTGGTGGGGCTGCGCGCCAGGCCCGGCTCGCTGGCTCTCACGGTGGTTCTGCTCCCTCAGGCCCTACTTTGCCAGTTCCGGCCGCCTTAGACGACGGCTTGGGGAACGAAGTGGGGGAGCCAGTAGTGGAAGAGGAGAGTCAAGAGCGGGGCTTGGCAGATGCCCTCCTCAAACTTACTGCTGTCCTTTCAGAGCTACACCCTGCAAAGAAGCCTTCTGGTCTCGAAGCAGTGTTGGGCAACCTGGCGGTCACAGCAAGCTCTTCGGACTCCACTGGCGTGTCTGCAGCAAGGCCCTCACGGAAGAACGCTCAGGCTCGCCTTGCGCTGAGGACAGCTCTGCGCGACCAGCCTCTGCACTTTGCGGCGCATGTCGAGGCCGAGGTGACTCGCAAAGTGGGAGAAATCGTGCGAGCGATTTCTGTAGCTGGATCCGCAACGGCGGTCCCTTACCGGACTTACATGGAGCACAGAGCTTTTGTGTCAGGCCACCGCCCCACTCAACAATGGTTGTGGATCCTCTCAGGAATTGGAGAGGCGCTGACTGCTGGCAGGCTGGAAGAAGCCAGGGCGAGAGTAGCACTTGGCGTGGTGTACGGAGGGCAAGTTTGTCTGGACGGAGGCCATTCTGCAATGGCTGGAGAGCTTTTGTTCGAAGATGCATCAGGGTTTAGTTCAGTAAAACCAGATTCAGGGTTTAGTTAAACCCTAAATTAGGGTTTAGTTAAACCCTAAATTAGGGTTTAGTTAAACCCTAAATTAGGGTTCAGTTAAACCCTAAATTAGGGTTCAGTTAAACCCTAAATTAGGGTTTAGTGAAACCCTAAATTAGGGTTTAGTGACACCCTGAATTAAGTTTAGTTAATCCCTAAACTAGGGTTTAGTGAAACCCTAAAATAGGGGTTAGTTAAACCCTAAATTAGGCTTTAGTTGAACCATAAATTAGGCTTAAGTTAAACCATAAATTAGGGTTTAGCTCAGTAAACCCAGGTTCAGGGTTTAGTGAAACCCTAAATCAGGCTTTACTTAAACCTTAAATTAGGGCCCAGCGAAACCTTAAATTAGGATTTAGTTAAACCCTAAATTCGGGTTTACTGAGACCTTAAATTAAGGTTTACTGAAACCCTAAATTAGGCTTTAGTTAGTTCAGTAAACCCAGGTTTAGGGTTTAGTGAAACCTGAAATAGGGTTTAGTTAATTCCAAAATTAGGGTTTAGTTAAACCCTACTTTAGGGTTTACTTAAGCCCTAAATTAGGGTTTAGTTAAACCCTAAATTAGGGTTCAGTTAAACCCTAAATTAGGGTTTAGTTAAATACTAAATCAG